TCAATCTCTGTAGCCTCCTCCCGGGGTATGCGCTCCAGGAAGTCATCATAATGCTTCAGGCCAATGGCCTGCTGGCTAGTCAGGGAGGCCCGGTCGCGGATATCTTCTAGTGTCCGGAAACCCTGGAAAAAAACAAGCCAAATGAGGAGGCTATGAGCAGTCAGGACCAATAGAGAGGCAGGGACTGAGCACATATGCAAGGCTTCCATCACCCCCAGATTCCAAGGAAGGCCTGAGGCAGGATCAACCCCAGGAGTGGTTGGCTCTGTAATCAGTGGAGCTCAAGAAAGGTAGGGAGCATGGGAGACTCACCCCAATCCAGCTTGCCAAAACCCTAAAAGACTGGTTCATAAGTCTATTTATTAGTCTGGGGGATTCTGAGCATTGCCAGGTTGGGGAACCATTGATCTAGATACTCAGCCCTGAGCCCTGGTCTTCTCAGGAAGGCCCTTGCTGGTCTGAGACAGAGAAGCACACTTCCTATCTCTCTGCCTCCATCACAGATTAATGCCTTGAGGCTATCTGGCAACAGGGCAGTTCTAGGAGCAGGAAAGGGGTCTACATGAGCCCTCGTGCCCTTGAAAAGTGGTTTCCCTATAGTCCTGGTTCATTCCCATCAGAACACAAGGTATGAGAACTGCAGGCAGGACCTCTGAGAAAGCAAAACTGAAGGGGGTGCTGGGACATGGGGTGACCTGTTGGTACCACATCTGTGCAGTTTTGGTTCCAGCTCCCCAAATGTTGGAGAAGAGCTCCAAGACAGGCACGCTCTCACTGATATGGTCCAGCTTCCGCAGATGCCCACTCTCCAGGATTTCTACGATCTTCTCGGCCATCCGCTTTCCAATCCCGGGGATACTGAAGGCCTCCTGGGGGAGGAGGAGGCAGAGGCAGGAAAAGAAGAGTGAGAAGATGGGAGGCCTAGAGCCAGCGGTGGGTTAGCAGATGCTTTCAGCAGGTATCTGAGTAAATGCCAGCTTGGTCAGTTAGCAGCTGATGGCTGTGTAAAGTCTGGGCACAAGTGAAAACGAGAATTTTGGATGGGATGGGCTGGGTCACTTGTCTTTTGGTTCCCAGAGGAATGGAGATCAGCACAGGAAGTAGAGAAAAGGCAGCAGTGACCACACGAGTCACCACTGTCATGGCAACAGCGAGACTGGGGCGTTCACTGAGGCCTTTCTGCGGCTCAGGTCCAGCACTGCAGGGAGCACGGCATTTGGTCCTCCCAAGAGCCCTGGAGTCCCTCACTAGTCTAAGTTCCTTTTCATTGCTCAAAGGTTTAAGTAACTTGCTTAGAACCACAGAGTTAATGAAGGATGGGAACCAGAATTCAAACCCTGGTCTTTTGGCCTCCATAGTAAACTTTTTTTTTTTTTTTTAAAGATTTTATTTATTTATTTGACAGAGTGAGAGATCACAAGTAGAGAGGCAGACAGAGAGAGAGAGAGAGGGAAGCAGGCTCCCTGCTGAGCAAAGAGCCCCCATGTGGGACTCGATCCCAAGACCCTGGGATCATGACCTGAGCCGAAGGCAGCGGCTTAACCCACTGAGCCACCCAGGTGCCCCCATAGTAAACTTTTTAAAAACTCTCTACTATGGGAAAAATTTCCATAGTAGAGAGAACAGTGTAATGAATCCCCACTACCCGTCAGCATCTTCTATAATTATCAGGAGACCATCAATCTGCTCTCATCCATCTCTCCATTTTATTTCTGTTGTGCAGGTCTCAGACATCATAAAATCTTAACCATTCCACCTGATCGCCACTTGTGACTGGTGCCCAGTAAACAGAAAGCCCCCCATCTCCCCGCATCCCCTGCCCTGGCCCCCAGGTACCTGGTAGGAGGTGACAGGCTTGTGGAAGCTCTTGAGGGCATTGATGGCCTTGGCATAGCCCAGGGCCCTCCACTTGTCTCCCTGAACACTGTAGGCTTTGGCCAGCACTTCCAGCTTCTCTGTGATGTGGGGGTTGTAGTTGACCGCCTTCTGGCTCGAAGGCTGTGCACAGACCCATTTATCCAGGCCCTTAGGGGCTGGACTAGGCTCACCATCTCCCTCGAGGGAGGGGGAGCAGTGGCCACTGATAAGGGCTTCCAGATCAGCTGCGCTAACCTGGGTCTCTTCCCCGTCACTGGTTTCATCATCACAGCCAGGCTTGAGGTAAGGAAAGAGAAGAGACGACAAAATTCATGCCCCTGGCCCCCAGAAGAGCTCCTCAAAGGTGGGGCTGAGTCTCCTAGTCAGACCCAGGAATGAGGCTGGGTCTCCTGCATCAGACCTGGGTCTCCTTAACTGTGAGGCCATGTTCCGTTTGGCTTCCCCCAGTGCCCAGCCCTAGACTCCCCAGTGATAGGTGGTAGATATGGGCCTTGGCAAATGCAGGCATGATGATTGTTGGGCAGAGCCAAATGGCCTCACCATAAGAGACCCTTCCTCTGTCAGGGCTGGAGACATTCTCAAAAACCACCAGGCTGTTTCTGGACCTAGTTCCCAGGGGAAGGGAGTTCTGAGGGCTGGGAGGCTCCTGACCTGGGCTTGGGTGCTCGGGGCCTCCTCTGTCCTCCGGGGAGGAGATACAGGCCTGGTGGGAGGATGAGGAGGAGAGAGGGCTGTCCTGAGCACAGCCTCCTGGGCAGAAGGGTTTTGGTCTGTCTTGCTGAGCTGCAGTTGGTCCAGGTACCTGCTGGGATGGTGATGGCAAGTTTAACACCCAAAGGCCTGGCCCTACCTCTGCTCCCAATCCTCTACTCTGAAATCTTGGTTTTCTACTGTGTCTGATTAAGATGATGAAAGTTATTTTTAATAAATCAAGGAGAGAGCCCAAGATGCTGCCAGGAAACGCTGGAGGAAAGACAGGGGCCCGCCCACCTGTCGGGGCTGCAGATGTTGAATCCTGCCGTGTCCACGAGCCTTTTCTCCTGCAGGCACAGGCTCAGCCAGGTGGACTTCACCAGCTGAGCACCCTGGGGTAGCTGGGGCAGTCGAAGGAGGCGGAGGGCTCGCTCACAGTCCATGCCTTCATCCACCACAATGTGAGTGACCCCTGGGGCCTGGGCAGCACATATCTGGCCTCCATGCTGAGTAATCTGCTTCTCAAAGAGTTCTGCCCGGGCTCGCCCAATGCCGCTGGGCACAACATGGGCCCGCAGGGAGCTCAGCCACTCTGTGGAGGGGACATCCAGACACCGATTGTCATAACTGTCAGATATGATCCAAATGAACCCTTTACCGTCCTGTGCCCCCAAACAATCATTTCCCTTCCATCCAGACAGCCAGCCTTCCAGGGATTCTGCTGCAGGCATACAGTTAATTTCCCATGAACCATCACTTGATTTAAGGGGCAAGGATGTCAATATGTCCTGTTCCCTCATGTAACCTAGAATGGTGTAGACACTGCTAGAGCACATTGTAGGTATCCTGTATATCGCTTCATTTGATCATTTATTCTTTCAAGTATTAATAGACACCTACCTCTGTACAAGGCATAAGGCACATATGTCTTGCCATTTCAGGCCTGGCTGTGTAAAAGATCCTCCCCTCCCCTCCCTGCCACATGAGCTGTTATTTATTTGTCAGCTTGGCTGCAAAATAACGTAACTCTGGGGACCTGAGTCTCCCTCCTTTATCCCTCTTCAGGCAACCTCCTGGAGAGTAAAGGATTCTGCTGGTCATTTCCTTAGGGACCAGACAGTATTTTCTGATTGATGAAGGTTTAGGGGGGGAGTAGAAAATAACACAGCAAGTGGCCTGTCAAAGACTGGGGCCCAAGCCTAGTGCGACAAGGATACAAAACAACCTGCAGGCCACAGACTGGCATAACCTGCTCTAGTATCTGTTCCTTGACATGAACAGTATCAGAAGACTGAGGGTTCAAGTACGTGAGGGTTCTGAGAGTGGATCTGCTCACCTCCTGCTTCTTCTCCACCTTCTTGCTTGGGTTTCTTCACAAGTGCTTTTGATGATGGATTGGCATGAATTTTCCTCCGCTTGGGAAATGCCTTCAAGATGCCCCCAGGGTCCATTGAGGTATGGCCAGATCCCCGCCTAATGGTTTTAGGTTTCATCAGGGCAACTGTCATGTGGAAACCCAGAATTGAGGTTACCCAACCCTTTGGCTATGAGGGTGGTGTCTCTAATGACCAGGCTTTGGGGGCAGTAGCTCAGTTCCCCAGGGGGGAGGGGTCTCCCAAAACCCAAAAGAACTTCAGCAGTTTAGCGTAGCACTTACCAGCCTTTCAAAACCAGAGTACTGGGGGAAATAAGGGTAAGAATGGGACTAATGGAGAACTCTTGGGGGGTACAAAATGATACTCCTTAGAGGGGTTGCGCTATAAAGATGAAGTGCAGTGTCTGCCCTGCTGCATCCCACTTTGAAAGGGGCTTACCAAGGGGATGCCAGGCTAGGAAATGGAGCTACATCTTTAGAAAGGGCTTGGGCTCCCAAGAGGGTTGAAGGACTGAGAGAAATCTACATATAGACCCCACATGATCTTTCTCTACACCATCACAGACCTGCAGAGGAAACCCTGATGTTGGCGGGTGTTCGGGAGGCGGGGTAATGGTCTACACCTGCTCTGGTGGCGGGCCTCTCGTCACTGGGGTGCTTAGTCCCGCAGCTGCGGGGAGATGGGGCATGGCCGCAGCAGGTGTGGGGCGCCTTCCGAGATGGGAGGAGTCTCGGCCTCACAGCTGGGGGTGAAGACTACCGGCAGCTGTGGGGCGCCCGCTGCATCCGCAGCTGGCGCGCGCCGGGAACTCCCAGCTGGGGAACAGAGGAGGGCTGGAGTGTCCGGACCCTGACCTAAGGGCCCCTCCCGGCCGCGGCGATTCGGTCCGCTGTGGGGTCAACTTCAGGCCTAGCTGGTCACCCACGGTGGGCAGTAGTAAACCACTTACCTGGGCAGCCAATGAGAGCGCACGGAGGGCGAGGCGCGTGGGAAATGGGGGGCGGGGAGGGCAAATGCCCAGAAGACCTTCCGGGTCGGCCGGAAGTAACCGAAGGCGGAATGGTTGCCATGGAAGCGGCCGGTCGCGCGACCTGGAGGAGGGAAGATGGCGGTAACCGGCTGGTTGGAGAATCTGCGGACCGCCGAGAAGACGGCGCTGCTGCAGGACGGTAACTCGAGGCCCCCACGAGCTCCCTAGTCCTTTACCCCAGGGTCCAGCCCTCTGCGTGGTCGCCTCCACGAAGGGCCTCCGAGCCTGGGACGGTCGAGCGGGAAGTGCTGCGGCTGCCAGACTAGGCCCAGTCCTGCATTGGCAGATGAGGAAACTGAGGCCCAGAGAGATGACGTGACTGGAACACGTGTCTCTGGACACCTCCTACTTTCCTCTACACCACGTCGTCCCGCTCTGAGTTCTGTTACTAATAAATATTAACTCCGTTCGTACTCGTTATGTCATTTGCTCCCGACTGCTGTCCCAAGAGGCTGTCAGTTTTCCACCCCATTTTACAGAAGAGGAAACTGAAATTAAAGAGGGTTTTAGACCGGCCCTAGCCTCTGGTCCAGTCAGTGGGGTTGTGTTGCTGAACGCAGCCTGGCGTCATGAAGAGGTGGGAGACCTGGGCTCTAGTTACTACTCTGCCATTAAGTACAGTGGCCTCTTTACTTCCTTGGGCCTTATTTTTCTCATCTGTAAAATGAGCTGGAAGGGCTACCTCTGATATCCTTTCCAGCTGTAATGTGTTTGTAAGAGAACTTCTAAATGTTCTCCGGGGTCTGTAGGGAAAACAGCAAGGGTCCCAGCACTGTGCCTGGAAAAAGGTGGACATAGAGGTAAGGAGTCCTGATTTTGTCTCCCCCTAGGATTGGCGGATGTAGGACCCCCAGTGCTGCAGGGGTCCTTTGCTGGACTTGCTTGGCAGCCAGTTGAATTACTGTCTAAACTCCTGTAGCTTGTGGGAGACCAGCTGGAGGCACACATCCGCAGGCAGAAGCCGATCAGGGAAGCGTGGAAATTAAAATCACCTACTCATTTGCTCATTCACGCAGCATTTAGGGAGGATTTTGCTATGTGCCAGGCTCTGTACCAGAGCAGAGAGGGGGAAGAATCGATATGTAAATAAGTAAGAATGTATGTTAAGTAGAGGTTGGAATCTTCTATAAAGTGTATGAGAGCACGAAGTTGGGAGTTGTCGGCTCTTTGAAAGAAGACCTCACAGAAGAGGTGATGTTTATGGGTCCTAAAGAATTCATCTGTGTTTGCTAAGTGTAAAAGAGGGAATGACTCACGCGTAAGGAAAGGTATGGATTTGCGAAAGCATATGGCTGATTACTAGGGGAATAACAAAACATTTAGTGAGGCATAAGCGTCCCCCCAGTCATAACAACACCTCCCCACACACACACAGTGTGTGAGGTACTAGGTGCTAGGATGCAAGGGTGAATAAAAGTTCTCTTTTCTCAAGGAGCAGAGGAGAAATGGTGGAAAACGAAGAGGGATTTTGGATAAATTGGGGTATGTTTTGATCTCCTATGCCAAGCTAAAGATTTTGGACATTATCTCATAGGACTGTGGTTTCTGGTTTTATTGTAAAAAATAGATAACATAGAATTTACCATTCTAACCGTGTTCTGTGGCATGAAGTATATTCACATTGTTGGGCAACCTTCACCGCCATCCGTCTCCAGCACTTCCTCGTCTTCAGCTGAAACTCTGTACCTCTTAAACCCTGACTCCCCGGTCCCAGCCTTTGGCAACTACCATTCTATTTTCTGTCTTTATGAATTTGATGATGCCAGGAACGTAATCACATAAGTGGAGTTACACGATATTTGTCCTTTGGTGACTGGCTTGTTTCACTTACCGTCCACTTAGTTCACTTCAGTGTCCATCTATGTTGTTGCCTGTCTCAAGGCTAAATAGCATTCCAGTGTACACACGCACACACCACGTTGTGTTTAACATTCATCTGTTGCTGGACATAGGGGTTGCTTCCACTTATATAGCTATTGTAAATAATTCTGCTGTGAATATGGGGGTGCAGATATTGAAGTCCCTGCTTTCACTTCCTTTGGTCACTGGATGGTACCTCAACAAATATTTCATCGTCTAGGATTTTGCCAGGGTTTTTTGTTAGCATCACAAAACAATGTTTTTGATCTTTTTCCCCAAAACCAAATAATAATAATAAATAATAATAATGTCAAGTATATGGATACATTTTGTCAAACCTCTCCTAAAGATTTACCCTCCTGATGGGTGTGTGGGTGTGGGGAGGATGTTACCTCCCTCCCATGAGAAAGCACTGCTATTGGTAATGAGAATCCAATACTCTTCAAATTTTTTTCAGAAAGAATTTAGGCTTGTTGTGGAAATATGAAAAATAAGTAAAATCACCCATCAACTACCATCTAGAGATAATCATAATTTACATTTTTAAAAAGATGTTATTGATTAGAGAGAGCACAAGCAGGGGGTAGAGCAGAGGGAGAGGCAGAAGCAGGCACCCCTGGGGTGAGGGGCTCAATCCCAGGTCCCTGGGATCATGACCTGAGACAAAGGCAGACACTTAACTGACTGAACCACCCAGGTGCCCCCCATTTTCTTTAAGATTTTTATTTTATTTAGTGTTTTAGAGAATGAGAGAGAGAGAAAGAATGGGGGGGAGGGGCAGAGGGAGAGAATCTTTGGCAGACTCCCCGCAGAGCCCAACACAGTGCTCGATCCCATGCCCCCAAGATCATGACCTGAGCTGGAAACAAGAATTGGTTGCTCAACCGACTGAGCCTCCCAGGCACCCCTATAATTTATGTTTTCATGCTAAACTTCCATATTTCTTCCATGCATGTACACATACATGTATTTTCTTACCAAAGTATGCTAATATACTTAAAATTGTTTATTAGCCACATATATACACATACATATATACCTGTAGAGTAAATATGTTAGAATAAAGTACAGATATGGGGCACCTGGGTGGCTCAGTGGGTTAAGCCTCTGCCTTCAGCTCAGGTCATGATCTCAGGGTCCTGGGATCAAGTCCCGCATAGGGCTCTCTGCTGAGCAGGGAGCTTGCTTCCCCCTCTCTCTCTCTGCCTGCCTCTCTGCCTACTTGTGATCTCTCTCTGTGTCAAATGAATAAAATCTTAAAAAAAAAAAAAAAGAATAAAGTACAGATAATTATTATATAATCTTTGGGTAAAGGAGGGCATTTTGAGCACAACTCCTGGGTAGTAGCCACAAAGGAAAAAATAGTTGACTATATAGAAATTATGCAGTTGTTTAGGAAAACCCACTTTAAACAAAGTTAAAAGGCAATTGAAATAATATTTGCAACATACATGACACATGGTTAATATCATAAAGATCAGTCAGATTAGTAAGAAAAAGATAAATGCCCAAATAAAATATGCTAAGGTCTAAACATAGTAATTCACTAGAAACATAATCAATAAACCTTTGGAACAGCGTTCAGCCTTACAGATACTTAAAGCTATGCACATTATCCTACTTTGGTTATTAGAGCATGGATTTTGGCCTCAGATGAGCTGAAATCTCGGTCTGTCATTTTTTTTTTTCGGTCTGTCATTTCATAGCTTTATGAGCTTGGGTAAGTTACATGAGCTTTAAGTCTCGATTTTCCTCATCTGTGAAATACAGGTAATGGGCGCACATAGGATTATTTTGAGAATTAAATGCAATAAAATATGTGAAATGGCTGGCCAGTAGTAAGTACCGCATCCTGCCTGGACTCCAGAGGGACTCCAGGGGAGAAGAGGGTCAGGCCAGCCACCTCTAGCTACTCACGGGCAACACCTTTAACCCCATTCCTACCAGGAAAACCCCGTCCGCCTCTGTTAGCCAGCCAAATGATTTAAGGGGGTATAACCTAGGGGCACACTGAGAAGCCCTGCGAAGTTGGGGATGAGTTTCCCCAGAATACAAACTGGGAATGACTCAAGAGAATTGTGTCCAGGGGAATGAATTAAATGGAAAAAAGGCTTGGTAGATCAGATAAAGTTGCAAATCTTAGGTAGCGACTCCTTTAACTGCTCAAGGTCCTTGGAGCCCTTACTCATCAAGTTTAGTTTGGGTACCTGTCCCTGTTACTAGGCTCACTGAGGAACCTACCTATGTCAACTCACCCATTGGTAAAAATAGGGGAAATTACATAGTCGCTTTAAAAAAATGCTTATGATTATAATATACAGATGGAAGAGTTGGGCTAGGAGACTCCCCTGGGTTCTTGCATTGTTTTAGTGAAAGTTGAATCAGTGTTCTTTCTTTCAATTAATACTTAGCTGAGCTCCTAACGTGTGCCAGTCACTATGCTTGGTGTTAGGGAAACCATAGGCAAGCAGGATAAAACCCCTCCTATCTAATAGTGACAGGCAGTAATCAAARAATTGCACAAATGTAAATTGTAACTGAGGTAAACATGAAGAAAACGTAAAAGGACTAACATTATGTGGCTGTGTGCTAGGAGTGGCGGAGAGATATGCAGAAGGCACAGCAATGGTATGGCTAGAAGGAGTGCTTGGTCAGGAAACCCAGTTCAGTATCCCGAGTGCATAGGCTTGGTTTTAGGAACTGGGGAGACAAATATGGCACTGTTCCTGGAGAGAGGATGCTCTTTAACAAAAGTACCATACCATGTGACACGTGCCCCACTATGGATATGAATAAAGCACCAGGGAGGCCCAAATAATAAGGAAGTGATGACTTTTGCCAGCGTGGCTAAAGACTTTCCAGTGGAGTGACATTTGAGCTAGATTTTGAAGGGCAAGGAGTTCAACAGATGAGAAGTATGGAGCTTTGTTGGTAGAGGGAACAGCAGAGTGAAGACGTGTTCAGAGAAAGCTGCAGAAAGGAAAGGCGTCCCAGGACATGTCTTAAACTAGCGGTGGGCAATGGTTGGCAAAGAGTTCATGGGCAGCTCTGGGAGGGTTTCTCATGCCCAAGCCCAAGGCTGTTGGTGTTTCCCAGGTAGATCCCTTGATGTGCAAGGCACAAGGTAAGAAGAGGCATGGGGGTAAGGCACTCTCTGCTTTGTGCGTAGGGAGAAGGAAGGTGCACTATTTGTTCCCAGATGGAAAGGAAATGGCCGAAGAATATGACGAGAAGACGGGCGAGCTACTTGGTAAGTAACAGGGGCTTCCACTGGGCCCGCAGGAACGCTGGGGGTGACCCAAAGCACAGGTAAGCAATTCTAGTCTGAGGCTTGAGGGAGAAACTGAGCACCAAAGTTGAAGCCAGGGGAGACTGAGGCCCTCAAGGCAAGATTATCCCTGAGAATAATGTGAGGTCAGGGCTGGACACCAGGTGGAGTGTCTGCTTGACCAGTAAACGCCACCTGACCCCCAGACCCATGGGAATGTGAGGAAGTCTTCCGTAGGAAAAGTGTTGGGGAAGAACTGTATAGAGAAGGCAGAATTGGAAGTGAGCCTCTACTCCGGGCTGAGCGAGTGGAGGGAAGGGCAGGCTTTCACGGCGCTTCCTGGCTTGCTCGCTTGTTTTCTGAAGCCACAGCAGCAGCAGGCGGCAGCTGTAGCAGGTACTGACCTGGCCTCAGAGGGCGCACTGTTAAATCTGACTCTTACCTTGGAAAGTGTCTGAATCAAAGGGGGTCTGGAGTGGAAATGGGGATTTTGCAACATTTTTGTTTTCATGCCTGCAGCTCTTTTCCTCTAAGACTATACTCATGAGTAGGGGCTCCAGCCCAGATTTCTGGGAATTATTTGATTTGTCCATCCTCTGTGCCCAGGTATGCACATCAGCATTAACTGACTTCCCAGAGCTAGGTGGCTGATGCTTTGACCCAGGGCCTGAGGCTGTCAGCAGTGGGAGTTGGTCTCTTTATTAAGTTCCACCTGAAATGCTAAATCCAATGATGGAATCATGGGTTGGGTTATTTTCTTGTCATTATTCTTGACTTTAATTTCTTCCTGGGCCTGATCGACAGGTAGTATTGGCAAGGGAATTTCTTTTTCCCTTTTTCTGACAGCTCATAAATGTCTAGAACCGACAACACGGATTACACTGGTTTGCATTTTCTTAGTCTGCAGTCTTAAAATGCGTGTCCTGCGCATGTTCAGTCACAGAGCGAAGTGTTGATCCCTCCTTATTATGAGCTGCTTGGGCTCCAGTCCCAATTGGTTTAGTCTGGTGCTATTAAAAATCTTGATGTGTTTAGCATATGACACTGATTTGGTGGAAACCAATACAGTAGTAATATCCTCACAATGCATTGTAATTTATAGCGCTCCCAGGGGGTGACAGGCTTGGAATGCCTAACAGGGCAAGCTTATGAAAGCAGAGGTCACGTGGGCTGACCACCGCCATTGCCAGGCCCGAGACTGGCTGCAGTTCCTCCCCACAGCCCCCAGCACCACCTCTCTCCTCCACTCAGAGCAAACAACCCGCCTATAGCTGCTGTGGCCATAAAAACAAACAAATAACCCCCGGCCTCTTCTTAGTTGTGCTTGAACATGAAATTAAAATGAGAAACAAGTTCTGGTACCTTCCTCTGTAGCATTCCACATTAACCTGTCACTTCTCTTGGCAGGTGGGGAATAGACAAGAGTCTTCAACTCCTTTTTTTTTTCTTAAAAGCAGAAATGCAGATTGATAGGCGAACACTGGCTAAAGTTTATCTAATAGTAATACCATAACTTTTATTAGGCGCCATGCTAAGTGCTTCATTATGAGTTATCTCATCGAACCATCCTCATTACAGCCTGATGAGGTATGTACTGTTGTCTCCTTTTACAGTCAGGAAAAAACGGAAGCTCTAAGAGGTTCAGCACCTTGCTCAGAATTCCATAGCTGGTTAGTTTCTGAGTTAGGATTTAAGTCTGAGTCTGCCTGGTTAAGAGCCCGTGCTTTAATGCACAACAACATACTATTGGTTGTTGAGAATATTTAATCCTGTTTTCTTATTAAATTTTGTTACCCCCAGAATGACTGAAGAAGGGGCTGGTGGGAGCAGGACAGAGCTGGGCAGACAGGAACACCCCACTTAAACCACTGGACCCTTTGAACAGCTTGTCCTTACCCAGCTCCAACCACTTCACCCTACCCCCACCAGCTGCCCTTCCAAAATTATTAATTTTTAAGTATAAACAATCTCAGGGCCTGAACTAACTCGAGCTTGAGCACTCTATAAAGTAAAATACGGACACAGTTATTGTGGCCATAAATGGGAATTGTTTCCATTTTCCCAGCTAACTATACAAATGTGATAATTGGTTAAACTGGTTTTCTGTTCGAAAAACCCAGAACGTAATTTGCCGCTGGTGCATCTGTGTCAGAGGGAGTTCTTCCAGTTGGTGTTAATAAGCATAGTGGTGTCATATTTTTTTCAACCGTCTCAGGGCTATTCATTCCCACCCCACACAATGAGTGCTGTATGTAGTCATAGAGGGAAACCTGAAGGGCCCCAGAACAAGGATCGGAACATCAAACCAGCCCCAGAAGAACACAGCCTGTCCAGGGGGGCAGAGGCTGAAGGGCAGGCCATCCCCCCCCCCCCCCCCCCGCGATTACATTTGGATTACCGGCTTAATCTGCTTTGGTATTTGACCGCCAGCCTCGCCACCCCGGCTGCATTTGGAGGACATTGAGCACTTTCATCCCCAAGCACTTCGCCGGCTTTATAAATGACCCACTCGATTCCCTTCAGCCTCCTCGGGGACGGGACGTGGCAGCTGTTTAATAGCCACAGAGCAATGTTGCAGTGTTTTAGGGCAGAAAAGAAGAGCCCTGCCTCCAGTTTGAGCGGCAGGGAGTGTTTAGGGAAGGGGAATGTAATTATCCGCATTGGAAGCAGGCCAAGGCTTGGAGCTTTGGGGAAAGAGGCCTCTAGGACCTCCACTTTCCAGCCCACCTGAAAGATGGGGCTTCCTTTCACCAGTCTAGGACAGCAGCCTGCTTCCTGCTGATTTAGGAAAAAGCCCCCAGGCACTGCCTCCTTCATATATTCCCCATCGGGCCCTTTAGGGTCATGGAGAGTCTCCTTTGCAAGGACTGACCCTGGCTCAGGGGGAAGATACGACAGCATCCCAGAGAGCGACCCTCCACACACCAGTTTGAGTTTAACATATAATCAAATCAGAGTGACAGCAGGTGGAAACAGTCCTCTGTTGCCGCAGGAACTGTCCTTGAGTTCAGGAACAAAGACAGGACAAGAAGGACAAGACAAAGTGTGTATTTGCACATGTGCATTCATGCCCATATACGTGGGAAAAATAACAAGGACTTCACCAAAACCGTTTATTGGATCTTATAATGGAATGAGTAGGGAGACTTTCTTCTACATTCTAGCAAAGAATTTAATCCCAAGGTGTTAAAAAAAAAAAAAAAGAAAGAAAGAAAGAAAAAAGAAAGTGGTGAAAGAGCCAAAAGGCTGGCCTCCAGTTAAGTGAGGTATTACACGAATAGATTTGGATATACTCCCGGTCACAGTCCATTCACTTAAGAGAGTAGAAGTATTTGTGGAAAAAAAAAAAAAAAAGTTGCCTATAAAGCATATTTCCAAGTTTTACTCTTCCTTATTAATTTTCATTATAAACTTGGAAATGTGTTTCTAGGGAGAATTTTTGGCCCTAAGACGTAATAAAATCACACTGCAGAATGCAGCAGACCTTATAAAAGCACATATTCAAGGGAAAATTCTAATTTTACAGCACACTTTTGTGTTCAGCTTGCATGCCTTACTCGGAGCAGGGAGGGCGTTTGGGTTTGGCACAGCGGCTCCGAAGGTCTCGAAGAAACCCATCCTGAGACTCTGACTCCGGGTCTCACCCACCCCAGCCCGGAGAGGAGAGTGGGCTGGAGCAGCTGTGACACAACACTGGGCGCTTTCTGACCTATTAGCTCCTTAGCACAGTGTCAGGAGGGCTGCTGGTGTTTGGCGGTAGTTAGGCTGCCCCCCGCCCCCCCCCCCACACCAGCGCTGCAGGATGAGAGAGGAGCCCAGGGGTTCCAGCTCTGGGTGGGGGGAGCTCCCCTGCTGTGATGGCTGCACCTTGAAGACATGAATGACTTGGGGTTCCCAGAATCCTGGCAGGGGTCCTCAGGTAATGTCCAGGGAACTAGTTGTTTCCACTTACAATTTCCATACAGAATGGACCTTACTTGGGGGAGAAAAAAAAAAAATCTTATGTAAACATGTGGGTTGTAAACCGAGGTAAAATGGAGACAATTGTGTGCATTATAAAAGGATGACCCTGTTCTGCAAGAAAAATTCCCATGGTTTATAAATAACGCATTCGAAATCCGGTGTGTGCCTAACGTTCGTTTAAATACAGTTTTGGGGCTGTTGTGTTAAGCCAGGTATACCTGAAATGAGCGAATTTCTGTATTTGGACTTTCTAAATCATGAGACCAATCTGCCTGTCAGGTTTCATTTTCTTATTTTTCCCGTGGCACATTTCTAGAGGGAGACAAATGCATCTCAGTTCGTACTTGTTGAGATCCAAATGTTCCCCGTTACCAGGAGCTCCCCTGTTCCTAACCAGCACATTTCTCCCTTGCTTGGAATCACGCCTGGAAGATTCTTAACTCCACTTGGCTCCCTTCAGAGCTTTGGTCAATCCCTTTTGTTTGGGCACCCGTGGTACGGGCTTTCCAGATTACCCAGTATTGAAATGCTCTGCTGGGCTTTGAGCTTTTGGCAGCTCTGAGGTCTTGCTCACTTGGACAGAGGTGGAGTAAAGGCCCACCATGGCCACTTCTCTCCCCTTCCAGTCATCTAATGTGGCGTCAGTGATTCAGCAGGAAGAGCAGAGTCCCTTCCTTTCCGGTAATCCCATTGCTTCCTTCTCTCCTCAGTGAGAAAGTGGCGTGTGAAAAGTGCCTTGGGAGCCTTGGGCCAGTGGCAGATGGAGGTGGGAGAGCCAGCACTCCTGGGAGCAGGGGGCCTGGGGCCTGAATTCATCAAGGAAAACAATGCCAATGTATGTCTCTCCGTTAGGTCAGGGAGGTGGGAGTGGGCTGCTGGCCCTGGAGGGCAGACACCATGTCTTAGTCACCCCCTTGTCTCCCGTGTGCCCACCTGTGTGCCACACTCTGTGTGGACACAGAGCTCTGGAAGGGTTTGCTTGAATGAATACCCAAAGGGTTTGGGCTTGGTCATCCTGGAACGAGGGCTCCAGGCCCGGAATGTCCCAGCAGTAGCAGCGTCCGGGGAGCTGTGGGAAGAGATGAGGGTCTCCTCCTGTTGTGTGCCCCAGGCAGAGCTTTGTAGAGCAGGGGGCCGTCCCTTGTTCGCTCTCACCAAGAACAGTCCCTAAGTTGGTTTTGCCTTCTGCAGCCCATCTTTATGCGCAAGGACACCAAGATGAGTTTCCAGTGGCGGATTCGAAACCTCCCCTACCCTAAGGACGTCTACAGTGTCTGTGTGGACCAAACGGAGCGCTGCATCATCGTCCGAACAACCAACAAAAAGTAAGTGGCATGACAGGCACCTGCTGACCTGTGGGTGAACACGATGGGTGGGACTTGCCCTGGGGTGGGGGGGTGCTCAGACTGCTCCCCACCCCAGAGGCCAGAGAAGCTTCCTTCTCCAGCTCTGAGGGAGGGCGGAGGGCTGCACTAAAGCCCTAGAGAGTGCTGAAAGCTGGAGGGCTTCTTTTCCTGAGGCCCAGCTTGAATAATGTAATCAGCTCCCTTTGGTGGGGAAATCAGACGAGGAACGTCTGGTCCAGTAACTGGTGCATATTGGGGTTCACCAGGCATTTGTTGAATAATGAGGGGATGAGGAATCACCTGGCCGTTAACTTGTGATCTTAGGTGGTTCTGCTGTAAGATTATTATTACCTTGACCCCTGGCTGGATCCAGTCCATGATGAACTTGCCTGGTGACATTACTGTCGGGGCTGTCAGGGAGCCATGGCCTAGAGAGCACACCCAGCTGAGCAGTCGGAGGACTGTGAAGTACTTGTCTGGGGCAGCCAGCCTTACGCTGCTCTCCACTGAGGGGCGGTAGGCCGGGGCTGCGGCCTCCTGCAAGTCTCTTGTGTTCTGTTTCCGAAGGGGTACCTAACTTCCCTCGATTTCTCTCCTAGTGTTCTGCTGGGGGCAGGCAAGGGGTGGGGGAGGCAAAATGTAGGGTCGAGGGGACAGAGGTGGCCAAGGAGGAGATCTGATCCAGGCAGGGCTGTTTCTGGGCTGACCATCTGGGAAATGCGTTGATCCTATGTAGATTTCCAGAGCTGTGACTGATCACAGGAGAAGAACCCTGTTAGTGAGCTGGCCTTGACCTGGGCCTGGGGGATTGAAGCGTAGGACCACCTCCCATGACATACAGATGAGGTATTAAAATGGAAGGTTTTCTGAGTGACTGGTCCACACACTAAAGCCACCCAGCGTGCCTCGTGGGTGCTGAACTTGGGCTACAGGTGGTGCCATCCATCTGCTTGTTTACCTGAGGGTCAGGAGGACCCAGCTCCTGTCCGGCTCCCTTCCCGGCTTCCATGGGTCTGTGAGGCCCCCAAGAAAGTGGCACAGCTCCCAGGCTCCCCTGGCACATCCTTGGGTTCTGCCCTCTCTTTATGACCCCCGTCCCCTCTCTCTCTGGCAGGGTTCAGGGGATGGGGAAGGGGTGGAGATGAATGAATTAATTTCAAGATTATTGCTCTTCACACAGCCAGCAGCCCCCGCAGTGGGCCTTGTCTGTAAATACGAAGTCATAATAATAAGGGCTTGCGTTTATAAAGCACTTTGAAGCCCTCAGATAAAAGGCAGTTTATTCCCGTTATTGTTCTCATCATTAATGGGAGTCAGGGCCTAAAGTGGAATTTAGCAATTTCAGACAACAGAGAAATTGCCTTTAGGAAAACAAACTCTGTGCTTCAGCAAGCATTCCCCTGTGTAAGAGGCCCTGGGTCCAAACTGGGAACAAAAGTGCTTCTGATAGCACTTGAATCTGCAGCCTAGCAGTTTGTGGAGCTGGCTGCTGCCTCCCTTTTGTCCCCCAGAGGTCACTGTCGAATACAGATACGAGGCAGAAATGTGATTACTGGGGAGTGAGAGGAGAGAGTCTAGCTAGCTCACCAAAAATTTCATCTGCGAGCAGATCCTCGGGGTCCCATCTGCTGCACGTACCCGGCTGTAGGCGGCGCTGTTGGCCAGGAGCAACATGGCGGGACGCCCACTCCTGCGCTCAAGGCAGGGGGAGACATTTTTGAACTGATGGGCGAGGCCAGGTCGGGTGGAAGCCTCTGGAAGGGGCAGGGCGGGGGCTGGATCCCCACAGAGAGGAGGGGTGTACGTGCGCGCCGCTTTGGAGCCCGCACAGAGCCTCTGGTCCTGTGGCCCAGCCTTCCTCAGGTCCCTCTGCCCAGTGGTAGGAGAGAAAGGCCGCTAAACCTTGAACCAGCTCTTTCTTGAGCGGACTCGCATTTTCATCTCCTACCAGGGGCAGTAATGCGTCTTACACCTTTACTGCCACTAAGTCAATGACTCAGTGGTTACTCTTCTGAGCAGGATTCTCCCGTTTTTTCAGGATCTGTTAAAACTCTTTTCTGATCATCACACCATGCAGTGCTGGGCGGGGTGCGTATTTTCATTCTCGTGTCGTATCTTAACAATTCTATAAATGTGTCTGTCAGGTCAACGTGTTGAGCTGACTTGCGAGGGGAAAGTTAGCGACAGTCTAGCTGCCCCAGCATCTATAGGCCCCACACGGTGGCATCTCTGATTTGCCTTCTTCTGTTGCCTGCTGGTTCTGTGCCTGCCTGAGTTCTAATGTTCTGGAACGTGGTTACCAGTAAAAACCAACGTTCCTTTGTCCACACCTGCCTCATCCCTGAAGGACTGGGTTGGCCACTTCCCAATTCCCAAAGGATTGATTCCAGTGTATCATGTCCTTGGCCTCCGGTACTAGTGAGGGGATGAATCAGGGAAGAAAGAAAGTACTTTTCCAGAATCCCAGTGTAGTTCTTGCCTGCTCTTGGTAAGAGTGTCCGTGCAGAAAGAAGATTCTTAGCCTCAGCCTAGAGCTGGCAGCTGTTAAGTAGAATGGACCAGGGCACTGGATTGGGAAAAGGTTGGCTTAAATCTGTCCTCTGCCCCATACAAACTGTAGTATTTGGGGCGAGGTTTCCTCATGTATCAGAGGAAACACTCAGACCTACCTCACAGAGTGTTTGGGCAACTTGATGAAATCCTATGTACACAAACTTCTGGCCCAGAGGCCGGCCTGAAGCATGTCTTCAGCAATTCTTTGGAAATTGGAACTTGGCTGATTTGACATTGGTGACATTAGCACTGTGGGAGGTGTCAATAGGCATCACTAGACAAAAAGGATTCCGTGGTCAAATAAATTTAGGAAACTGGATTAAAAACAAAAGGTTTCTCTTTGGTAGGACATATGGCGGCTGCTTTTCTAAGGGCGGGACCGGCTAGAGGCTTTTCAGGACCAGTCTGGCTGAGCCTATGCCCGGCCGGTATGGCTCTAACGGGCCTGCTTCTGCTTTCAGCCTCTCCAAGACTCTCTCAAGAGGTCTGGCCTCTTGTCCCTTCTCAAGTCACTACAAAGGAGAATAGGTTGGGAAACGACTGGAAATTGGGAAGGGGATACAGCAGAAAGAGGGTTGGGGGGTACTATGAGTCATTTCCCAAAATGCCCAAGTGAAGGAGCCATTCTTTCCACACAGTTTAGGGGAAGGTACAGAGTTGGCCTGTTCTGGTCCCTTTGACAAGTGACTTCAAGTTCATCCCGTTTGTCTAGTTTGGAGACGAAAGTTCATTCAGCTCCTTTATTGGAGGAAGGAATCCGGAGGAAGAAACTTGGGCCCAGAAGTGGAGGGGCCTGCTGGGCTTACAGGCCAGGACTGGGAGTTGTCCTGACAGCCTTCGCTTTGCCGTGTCTTTTGAACACTTCTGACATTCCGAAAGGAAAGCCACTGTGTTGCAGTGCCCAGAGGACCCGCAGGCTGGCTGAATCCTAAGGGAGAGTCCCTCCCATGTCTGCCCCAACCTAGACCAGGGCTCTGTCACTTCGAGGAGAGGGTGTGGAGAGACGGGGGCTCAGGAGGTTTGGGGGATTAGTACTTATAATAGGGGCTTCTCCATGGATGGTTTTGTGACTCTAGCAAGATACCGGTCGGTTCCTCAGTTTTCTGTGAAAGAGGATAGTAAGAGCAGCCAATGAGGGGGTTGTTTTGAGGACTCGGTGTGTGTAGAGCAGTGCCTGGCCCAGGAAGCATAACAAACGTCAGCTGTCATTGTGTGGCTGAGACTGAGAGCAGTAATAGGCGGTGGGAACAGGGGGTGTCACAGGTCCGCCAAAAGCCCAGGAGCCGCTGCACTCTAAGGGTCTAGCTTTCAGCAGAAACACAAGATCTCCTCAGGCAGAGACAGGGCCTTCTTTCTTCTTCATCTGTAAATCCCCAGCTCATAGCTCAAGGCCTAGGGCACAGTTGATAGCTAAAGACATGTTTGCTGTCTCCCTAGGGCTGCTCGAGGCCGAGCGGTCTGTGTTTTCCAGAAGCACAGTGGGTCCCTCTCTAGGCCAGGTACTGATGAGTAAGTCAAGTGTGGTTCCTCTCAAGACGAGCCCCAAGGCCAGGGGATGGGGGACCTGCAGGGGGTGGGCTGCACCCTGAGTAGAGGAAGCAGATGTCCCATACGCCCTTGAACATTGCCCAGCAGGAGCATCTGAGGAAAGTTGTGTAACCTCAACCAGTAAACTAAATCCATTAGAATAGACTCAAGACAAAGCAGAACGTCCACACGCACTCTGCCTCCAGCCCCTCGCCTTGTGGTGACAGGTGTGCGAGTGGGACTGGGTGGACACAAGCCATGCACAGCAAGTTCCTTCTGAGGCCAAGCCCCAGGGTTTCTTTTTTCAGTCCCATTGTCCCAGCATGGGGAATATACTTTGCTGGTGCCCCTCTGAGGGTACACAGGCACGTCCCTGTCCCACCCTGGTGCACAAGCCAGGTAGGCAGAAAGGATGTCCCTCGGTAAGGCTCTGCTCGGTAAGGCCTTCCACGGGCCCTGCTGGTTCGGCTGGGCTGCGCGTGCCTGGGCTGCTTCTCTCCCAGTTCTGCTTCTTGTGTATATTTGCAAGGAAGATGTTAACACTTCCTAACAAGCCTTTGTGTTCATCTAATCTCTGCTGTTTAACCTTTGACTCCCCCCTATTATCAGTGTCTGCCACCTTTGCTGGCCAGCCCAAGGGCCCCAGGAAGAGCCCTCAGCCCGGGCTAGGAGGAGGATGAGGCAGCATTCCACCCGCTTTTGCAGGCAGATGGATCGTCTTTCCCTGGGGCAGAGCTTTGGGAAATAAAGCAAGTTTGTGGTGCCATTAGGATCCCCCAGCCCCCACTCCTTTTGAACTGTCAGCCTTTAAGTAAACATTCTTCCCCTGCTGCGGGTCCCAGCACCTTGGCGGGAGCGGAGAACCTGGGAGGAGAGGGGCCCTGAGAGCCTCCTCTAAACTCCCAGGGATTTGGGCAGGAGAGCAGGGCAGAAGTGCTGCATTGATGTCAACTCTCTGAGTCCCTGGGGCCCTGGGGCTTTTGAAGTGGACCCGCAGTAGCTGTCACCACCAGGACCAGGCCCCTCTGAAGTATTCAAAGCCCTGTCCTCTCCGGGCCCTCACTTAAGTTGCTGCGTACCTGCCCGCGGTGTTTCCCTTCCCAGCCCTCAAGCCCACAATGGCCGCAGGGATGCCAGGCCTGAGGGGCAGGTCTGCTGGCCAGTGGGGGCCCAGGCTCCACTTCCACCAGGGAAGATGCCACACAGGTCTGCTGCTAGAGAGGAGGCGCTTTCGGTGACAGGCACCTGACTCGGGAGCAAGGAGCTATGTCCTGGCTTCCTGGACAGCTGGCCGGGAAGCTGGCAAGACCCGTTACCTCCCTCTTTGGTAAAGGTCAAATTTCCTGTAAAATGAAGTCCAGTCGTATGCGTCATGGGCTAGGTGTTGCTCTCTGGGTTTTTTGGGTTTGTTTTTACTAAAAAGGATCGTTAATCTCTGGATTGGCCCTTGCAGATGACAGGGACTGTGTATGAAAATGGGGGCTGGGGGCAGGGAGTCTCGGGGCCAGCAAAGTAGTCCAGAGATCCCGCTTGAGATGAGGCACACGGTTTGTCCTCCTAGATTTCTCCTTGTGGATGTGCTTCCCTCTCTGGCCTACAAGTGGAGTCAGGCCCACAGGGCCTTCTAGAAAGACCACAAAAGAGGGAGAAAGTAGCCGGGGACTTCAGAGAAAGTTGCATGTAAATGGAGCTGTTGGTTCCCAGCTCTGGGGAACAGTCCTAGATAGACTTCTTCTGTCCCTTGTTAGCATACATGTTCTCACGTTCTTGGGGTGCAGCAGAGGCCTGGCCTGCCCGAACTGTACATTACAGAGGCTGCTTCTGTGTGCCTTTGAGTGTCTGAGCCTAAAGCATGAGTCACTCTAATCCTTGGTCTAATCAAGGAACCGTGAGGGGTCCTGCCCTTGGCCAAAACGTCTTTCATTCATATGGTTGTTCGCAATGGTTTCCCTTCTTCCTCTTTGGCTCTGTGGAAAGTGCGGAAGAACTGTGTAGAAAGTCGGTACCAGAGGGCCTGCTGCCCAGTTGTTGGGGATCCCCTTGAGGGATGTTTCGGTGACCTCTTGGTGTTCCCACAGGTACTACAAGAAGTTCTCCATTCCTGACCTAGACCGGTACCAGCTACCTCTGGATGAGTCCGCGCTGAGTTTTGCTCATGCCAACTGCACCCTGATCATCTCTGTAAGATGAACCCAGACTTCTTGGCCACTGCATCAGGGAGAGGCTCCTCCTTTCCCTGCCCATTTCCCATCCCATGGGAGTCCCCAGTTCCAGCCCCTACCCATGGCGTGTGGTTGCTAGACAAGAGTCATCCCTCCGTCAGCAGGGGGAGAGCAGGGTGGGGGCCTCAGCTGATCTCAGAAGTCACAGCTGGAAGAGGACAGAGGATGACGTGGAGGGGTGGAGATCGCAGAACTGGGACTCTGGTGGAAGCCTCCTCCCCAGCCATGTGATCTTGAGCAAATCATTCAACCCTGTAGGCATCAATTTCCTCATTTTCAAATAATGGGATCAGAGGAGGCCACAAGTGTGTAAGTAGGGAGGGGATATGTGATTGAATGACACACTCTTCCTGGTTCCGTCCACAGTACCGGAAGCCAAAGGAGGTCCTGGAGGCTGAGTCAGAGCTTCAGAAGGAGCTGAAGAAAGTGAAGACGGCCCACAGCAGTGACGGGGACTGTAAGACCCAGTAGCGGAGCATCCTTGAGCCTGCGCCCGGGGCGGTGTGGTGACCGGACCTCAGGCAGCGCGGGAGGCTCTTCGGACTTTGTGGCCCAAGCCACAGAGGATGAACAGGGGTACACCCTCTCTTCTAAGAGCTCTCCAGGCTCTGTGAGAACTGGGCCTTGGGGTGCTCCTAGCCCCCATATCATGGTCTGATCTCCCAAGTAAAGTCGTTCTGAGTCACTGCGGGGCGACTGCCCTCTTGGCCAGCTCTCCACGCGCCTGTTGCCAGGGAGGGTGATGGTGACGATACTCCCTTCTGTCCTCAGGGAACTTCAGTGTCAAGCCTTTCACAGAGAGGGAAGCATGGGGAATGGATGGAACAGAGCTGGGGGGAGGCCCTGAGCCTAACGCTGGGTGGGTGTCTTCCCCGTCCTATTTGCGTAAATTGAGGGACGCTAGGCTGGTGGAAACCCTGGCTGTCTCAAGCTTGCAGAAGGGCCCAGATGAGCTCCCTGTGGTAAGGGGAGGTAAGGTAAAGGAGAACTTTTTGAAATACAGAAACCTTGGAAACAGTCCAGGACATTAAGACATTGTGGATGTGAAGGCAGGAGGAGGGTCGTATTGTTGCAAAGAGTGCATGTGTGTTTGAGGAGGCTGAAGAAGGGTTTCTGCAGATGGGGAGCAGCTTAGCTCCCCAACAGCACGAAGCCCTTCTACAGTCCCCTATCTGTACCCCACAGCTAGCACACACCCCACCACTGGGGCCCAAGAGGTGAGTGTCTTAGGGACACTGAGCTATGAGACTGATCTTACCCTTTCCCCAACATGCCCATCCTCAAGTTTGAATATGTCTTTCCCTCTCTTACTGCCTCCCAGGACTCCCCAGCCAGAGAGGAACTGGAACTGAACAATCAAGCTTTATTTTTTAAAAAATGAACATTGTAGCATGTCTTAGCAGCCAGCCTGAGATTGGGTTGTCTCAGAACTCACTCAAAACTGCTGGGTTCCCTTTGTCCTTCCTCAGTTTCAAAGCGAGACCAGCCCACAGTGCCCCAGGAATGAGCCCCAAGAGCTTGGTCAAGAGAGGGGACTGACTGAGGAGGTAGGGGCCAGAGCAGAGGATTGGCAGCCTCACCCCTCCTTCCAAGGAAGGGGCAGAAAGGGACGGCTGGAGCCCCTCACCTCACGAAGCTATCACGGCTCTAAGAAGGTGTGAGGGGCAGGGCTGGCCTGTCCAGACCAGATCCTTGCTCTGGCCAACAGGGAAGCAAGGCCCGGCCAGGTTCAGCTGTTCTGTCAAAGCAGCAGATCCCTTCTCTCCATCTAGCTCCTGGGAGGGGTACCCCCCAATTCCCGGGAGTCAGCAGCCTTTACCTGACGGTGCCCAAGCACTGTGGTCGCAGGTCTAGGAGCACAGGCATCGGGGGGTGGGGGAGGGCAGAGGTATCCCTGCACCCTCCAGGCGGAGAGGTCCCTGAGTAGCTGGCCTCCTGGCCCACGGCCGGGGTGGCCCTATCACGGGTTCTGGAAGTCCAGGACATGGAGGTTGTAGGACAGCGCCGCATAGAGGTGCTTGGTGGTGAAGCGCAGGCAGTACACGGGGCTGCTGAGTGGCGTGGAGGTCAGCGGGAAGGCCTGCAACAGAGGGAGGGAGGGACGGCCGTGGCAGGAGCAGCCCGAGGGGAAGCGGGAGGGAGCCCTAACCTGTCCGGTCCAGCGCAGGGGGCCAGGCGGCATGCCGACTCCCCCGCTTCTCCAGGCAGCCACCCCCCCCACCCCCAGTACAGCCACTAGTAAGGAGTCCTGGCATCTCAGAGCGGGAGGTGTGCGGCGCACTTACGTGGAGGCAGGCCCTCTGGCGCCGGTCCCACAGCCGCACGACCCCGTAGTAGGAGGACCCAGTAGCCAGCAGGTGGTTGCCATCGGTCTGCAGGCAGTACAGGGTGCTGTCGTGGGGCTCCTCCCACTCCATGACACATTTCCTGTGCGGGAAGAGGCCGTCAGAGGGAGGGTCAGGGGTGCCTGCCGCCCCAGCTTCCACGGGGACCTTAGAAATCCATTCTGGCCCAGAGGCAGAAGCTGAATCACCCTCTCTTTAAAAACCAGACTTAGCGGGACCAAGTCTCCTCTGTAAAGCTCTCTTTCTAGCCAGCGCCCGAACCACAGCGCCCTCGCTTGTGCTTCCCACGGCTGGCTACATGTCACACGACTTGGGTGGCAGGGCAGAAAGGCGGGCAGAATGCTGATGGACGGGCCGCTGACTCCCCGGGCTCTCCATCAGCACCCAGTGGCTATGGTCTCCATGCCAGGGGACCAGGGCTGCCAAGCGAGGAACTGAACAGCGCTATCTGACCTTGCTGGCTGCCGCTCCTCACCTCCACCTGCAGGGCCTGTGCCTTATGGGGGCGCCCCAGGAGGGCCAGAGGGAGGTCCGGGACTGCCGCCCACCTCCCGCCTAGCACACTCACCGGACACTGGCTCGGAGGTCCCAGTAGCGAACGTAGGTGTCATAGCCACAGGACAAGAGCGTGGAAGGGGACTCATACATGACATCCAACACCCCAGCCCCTGGGGGGAAGTCGCTGCCCAGGTGCATCATTAGCTGCCCACTGGGGAGAGAACAGAGGGGCAGAGGAGGAGAGACTGTCCCACCTCGGCCTCCACACCGGCTGGTAACCTAATGGCCTCAGTCCCTGGGGAGATGCTGCTCTCCCTCCTGAGCTAAAATCAGGCTCCTTTCAGATGGGGCCAAGGGAAATGGCCCAGGATGCCCACCCTGTCACCCCAGTCCCAGTGCCTGCCCCTCCCCCAGCTGCAGGCCTGCACCACACCTGCTCGCTGCCCAGCGGCGGTTCTCAGGGTGGAAGAATGGGCCCTGCGGCCGGGCCGGCCCCCTCCCGCGCGCGCGCACACTTGGTTACTTTCTACTTCTTGATCCTGCAGGTCATGCAGCTCTGAGCTGCCTGAGTCCAATGCCTTAATTCCTGCCTGTAATCTGGGGCTCAAACCTCATTGGGGATAAAGACCACACAAAGGGAGAAGGGGAGTCCCAGGAGATGTTAAAACAAGTAAACACCTTTGTGTCTGGGGAGAGAAATCGCTGAGAAAGCAGCTTAGCTGGCCGGTCCCTGGTGTTCCTGGCCCGGCTGGCCCCCAGCCCGGGGCGAGCACGCCTGTGTGATCACAGCCCCCAGCCTGCTGGGCTGCAGTGCGCTCCCCACCCCTCGCCCCTCCCGGTGGCCGAGAGCAGATTACTGAGAAGAACAATTTCTTTGTGACTGTGTAAGTCCCTCCGTGACCGCGGCAGTGGGCAGACCCCTCGCCCTGATGCCAGACCCCTAGCAACCACGTAGGGGGGCCTTCCGGCCCTAGCAACTACCCCTCAACATCAAGTGCACCCGCTAATCCCCGTGGCTAGGGAACGGGGAGAAGCAGGGAGTTTCTGCAGGATGGGGGGGTGGTGAAGGGGAAAAGGGACACCCTCCAGGCCTGATCCCAAACTTGCACCCAAGAGCCGCTGGGCCCTCCTCCCTGGCAGGAGGGGAGAAGGAAGGCCACGCACGCTTCCCAGGTCAGAGGCCCCGGCGGCAGGAAGGAGCACTCCTGGCTCTCACAAGCAGTGCTCACCACCAGTGTGAGAGCAGACTTCAGCCCCAGGCCTTCCCGCTCTCACCCTTAAGCTCCCTTCTCCCCAGTGGAGCCACCATCTTTCCTAGAAGCTGAAGGAACAGAGGCGGTAGCTCAGGGTTCCCTTCTACCTTTCCGCTTTGGCCCTGGGCAATGAGGAGACCCCCCCAGCAGGACGGCGCTGCAGTCGGTGGGAGGGCAGGCCCTTAGAGCCCCTGCCCCCAGCCCCCTTGGGCGGTGTTCCTCTTTCTGGGGTAGGAGGTAAGCCTTTGTGCTGGGGGACCCTGAGAGGGATCAGGCTGAAGGCCAGACCCTAGAGATCACGGACCTTGGCTCCCAGGCAGGGCCCGTCTTCGTAGAAGGGCCACCAGCTATGACTGCCCCACCCCGGGGCAGCCCGGAGTCCCTGAAGGAGTCCATCCCCCACCCCCACCTCTCTTTCACAGGTGCTCCTGGACATTTGTGCACACCCAGGTAGGGGGCTGTTTGGCTCCACAGTTCTCCCTCCTTCCAGATTTGGGGGCCCTGCCCCTTCCATTAGTGAGGCCTTCAGGAATGACGGAGGAGCTCTCCCCTTTAATCTGCAGAAGTAATTTCATGTTTGTTTGAAATAGAAGATGAAAGGCGGTGGGGGTGGGGGCGTGAAGCCCAGCATGGCTCTACCTGCCTCCCCCCATCCCGGGATTCAGAGGGACAGAGAGCTGGGCACCCGTGCGCCGGACAGGCAGCAGAGTCGGGGCCGCAGCATCAGGGCAACACCCAGACCAAGTCACCTTGGGCCCCTGTCCCAGCATCCAAGCCACCCCTAGAAACGGTCATGCCAGCATCTACGATAAGAACCAGAACCCTGCCTGCCGAGGGAACCCCGAGGGCTAGGGTAAGCACCGGCCGGGAGGCCGCGGCTAGTCGCGCAGCCACGTCCGCCGGCCCAGCTGGGCCCGAGACAGACAGTTGCTGCAGCCTGGCGCTCGGAGTCCCTGAAATGGCCACACACACTTCAAATGGGCCAATAAAAAGATACAATTTCTTTGGCCTCTGGGCCTGAAGCCCTCCACACTGCTGTGCGGTGCCCGGGAGGTGAAGTCCAGAGCCTCCGCGGACACAGCCGGCTCTGGGAAGGGGCCCGTCCCTCCAAGCAGCAGCCCCGCGCGGCCCTGGGAGCCCTGCTGGGGCTTTGATTTGGGAAAACAAACAGAAATGGCACCGTGGGCCCTCAGCAGCCCCCACCCCAAGACCAATTTAACTAGAAAACTCTAGCTCGACAGCTCTGGGGAAGGGAGCAAGATTGGCCCGACAATAGCTCCAAACTTTGGGGAAAATGGGGACAAAACAAGCTGTCTGTCTCCTCAGCCCCTCCTCTCGGGCTCCTTTTCTTCCTGCAAGTGTGTTCTTGTAAAAACGATTAGATTGCAATTTGTATAACATGGTGACCCCCAAATTCAGACATTTCACCCC